CTTGCCCTCCTTCATGGACCATAGCTCAAGCAGCAATTTAACCCTTAACTGTTTAGAGTTGCAATAAGATGATCTTTACATACTTAAAAACAAATTTAAACCAAAATGCTCCATGTCCAGTTTTGTATTTTAGAAAGCCAAAAAAAAGGGGGAGGAGGGGAATTTTATTTGGCTGCTGCCACTCAGAAATAACATAGTAAGGTAACTTGGGAGAATGATGACTTTTAACATGTTAACCACTGACCATGCAACATTTTCATCAGTGTAAATATAACTCCTCATTACTCTGCCAAGGCTGCACTGAATCATACAACCACCAGTGAAGTCAGACTTTATAAATAGTCTTATTTCACATAAAAACACACTAATGAAGGTGCTTTTAATTTTAGGTAGTTCTTTCTGAAACACCGGTGTGTGTTACCCTGATAAACGGGAATGCCGGGAAAACTGATCATCCAAGGAAAAATTCAGTTGGTGTTCAAACAAGTTCTTAGGGTATTTGTGTACGGAAGAAGCCCGGAGGTATTCAAGGATTGGCATCAGCATATTTATATTTGCATTCTCCTCAATTCAGCGTTAATATATCCTTCATCACGACCAACATACTAATTACAGAGTGCACAGAGCCTCAGAAAGCTGCAGCAAGTTGCAGGCTGGATTATTACTTCATATTGCTGAGGAACATGAAAACCCATAGTTATGAATGAGGGCTCCCTTGTGACCAGGTGCTGTACGATTTGAAGGCAACATCTCACAGACCTTACATTTGAAATCAAAAGGATGAATTAACCCAAAGCAGGTGACACTAATTTCTCAGTTAAGGTATTTTTCATCCTCTCAGGTGAACTGAAATTGTGTACATTCATTCCTTCTTTTGTATTTCAGAGAGAGCACCCTGTTTAATCACTTGAATGGCCTTGGAGCACGCCAGAGATCACGTGACATGCAACTACTGGCCCTTCAGGTCTTCACTGAAACAAGGTTTGTAGCTCACACAGTTATTCCTTAAATCAAATACGAACTGGGGACACCGGCATTTATGTTAATGAAGTGGTACCCCGTCCTAGTGCTGATGTCCTTGCCTGGGGAGACAACAGTTCTTTGTATGTATCTCAGGTCAGAGTGGGCCGCTTGTGTCACCTCACTTGAACTCCTACAACGAGAGCCAGAGACACCCACCCAGGTGCTCCTATCCTCAGCCCAACAACTGCAGGTGAAACAAGAACATGTAACATTTAACATCTATCTGCGGAAAGTGCACAGGAACGTTGAAAGTCAGTACAAGAGGGGAGTATGGAACTGGCAGATGTTGCATCTTCCCTATGCGAGGATATATATTAAGTTGACGATGACTGACTTTAAACATAGCAGACTCCAGGGACAGGTGACAGTGAACATAGTCCACAACCTTTCATCACCTAGTTCAAAGTCCAGTTCAGCTCACAGGCAAAATGAGATTCATAGTCTAGCCCTTAATTCCTGAAGCTTGGATACATTTTTTCAAAGTGGTGCAATTGCACAACATAAACAGCCACTGCCAGAAACTGCGACTGAAACTTCTCTAGTATCTGATTGACTCTACTTGTATTATCAGGCCCCAGCTTGACATGTGCCTGAATAGCTGAATGCCAGATGAGAGGGAAGGTGGCAGGGATAATGCAAATATTTTTATTAAGTTGTTGAAGTGTTTTTGACACAACAATAGTAACATTATACGCTTAAAAATGCCACTGAAAATTATACTAAAGTTTATCTATCATACAAGATGCATTTAGTAACAGCAGCATCTTTTTACATAAAAATTGTGAGATTCATCTTTATTTCCAACATAAACTTGATAAACAAAAGGAAGGTACGTAATTCCAGTGAGCACACAGACAATTGGACAAGTCTGGGAACAACTGTTGGGCCAGTTGCAAAGATGTGAACTTTCAGAATAATTTCTATTGCCAAACAGGGAGCTCGCTTTCTCTTTGAACTTCAGGGGAAATGAGGATAAACTGGTTATTGTAAAAGGTGATCATTTAGTATCATCATAGCACTTTCTAAAAATCTAACCAACAAGCCAAAGCATGAGCTAAAGCTAGTTATTTACTTCCAAAAATATAACTATGTTTAGCTCCAAATACAAATACTTCCACATACATGGCTGAAAAAAGATCAGAAGGTATAGCAGCTATTTTGAAACCTGCATTTCCATCAAACATCTTAGTTTATTTATATATTCCCCACTTTCCTTGAAGTATTGCCCACACAAGCAGCATTTCCCACTTTGGAGAATAACCATTAATTTCACACCGCAATGTTTTTTCTAGAGATATAATTACACAGAAGACAAGTATTCTTTATTAAAATATCTGAAGGCATGCTGGGTAGTTATGACCGGTCGTTATTCAGGAGCATAGGTTTTCTTTTCTTTTTTCTTCCACCCCCCCCTTTCCTTTCCTTTCCTTGTTTGCCAGCTAATAAGAGCTTTGGAGATGTAAAGGTGTGACTTGATCCCAATGCATTTTTAACATTGTAATAAATGATGCAGTGAGATACAGAATAACCAGGCAGAAAACTGTTCTGTGCAAGACAACCACTCTAACATACGCTTGACATCAACAAATGCATTCTCCCAGCACCTGGCACACTATGAATGAATTGTGACATTTTCTTACTATTAATTCTTTTAAGATAATCTCTAACTTCTTCCTTCAACTTGTATTTTATAGAGTAACTGGGATATACATTTTATGAATTGTTGAAGCTCCTAGTATCCCCCAGTTGGGAAAATTAGTTATTCTTACGGACATAACTATGTCCAGATCCAAAAGCCTGTGTCAAAGCAGAATACAACTAAATCTGTTCCTAATGTTCTTCCTGTTGCTTTTTTTAGTTTCTGCTTTCATCCTACAACTCATGTTATTTCTCTTCTTTTGCCTCTTCTTATAATACACCCAATATAACACACCATTTACAATTTTAGTGTTTTACTGTAGCGTGCCAAAGACATGTCAGCATAGCCTCTGAATCAAAAGTTGAGAGTATCTTGCAAAGTTTAAATTACAAAGCATTGTCTCATCAGAATGACATTTCTCTTGGGATCGAAGCATTTTGACTGTGATAAAAAGTCACAGAAAGAACGCAGCCACACAAAGCAATTCAATGCAGCTAGGAGCCAACACACAGCAGAAACTACATGTAAGACAAGGGAAAAGAGGGAGAAAAAGAGAGGGGAGAGAAGGGGATGTGTGTCAAAGGATGGGAGCAAGGAGGGAAGAGGGAGAATTAATGCACACTCATATAAAGGAGGAGGAAGGTAATTTTATGAATGCTTTCTTGCTGGTTCACAGAAATCACTAAACTGACTGCTAATTACGAAGTGTCTAAACTCCAGTTTTCAGGAAGAGGAAATTAGCTCAAGTCTTTTTATGGAAACAAATCCTCAAAATCCTTCACTTTTTAAAGCACCAATCTTGTCTGCTTCCCTTATGATAGATACTTACGAAATTCTGAAGTTGCCACGTTCTAGTATCTAAATGTACAAATACATACCTTTGAAAATAAATGCAGACAAGAATAGGAAATGTTATGTGGGCAGCAAAGGTAAGAAATGTGTTGGATCTTCAGCACTTGAAAACAAACCTATACAAAGTGGTAGGGCCTAAAGTCCAAGCCAGCATGCAAACATCACGCATGTGACGTGATGCTTTATCATGCAAAGCGTTAATAAAAGATGGAGATTAAGAGCTGCAGCTAGCAAAAAAGTTTTCTAAAGAAAACTGGGGTTTTGACTGAAAAATCACTTTCACAGAGATTTATTTTCCTGAGAAATGCAATGTCCTCCTGTTTGCGACGTCTCTGGAAAGGAGACTCCTTCTCTGAGAAGTTTCCCTTTGAATCCCAGTTGGTGGGAAAGCCAATGGCCTCTGATGGAAGTTACCACTCAGTCCTGGTTACTAAACATTTAAAATTCACTTCTTTCAATTTGTAGTACTCTTGAAAGCAGCCTTAATGTGAATCCAGGGATGTGACAAATTCCACATCCTCATCTTGATGTTTCTGCTCAAGAAATCTGAGACTGCCTGTCCCTGAGATGACTACCCCAAATCAAAACTGATAACCTGAAAGAGGGTGAGAATATCAAGAGAATATCAAAACTCAGTTAGATCCACAGAACTCAGAATTTTTAGTAGACAGGACAGACCTGTATCACAAAACCTGTAAAGCACTCTGCTTGTGAAAGCCCGAATTTATCGCAAGCAATGACAGGCTGCTAAAAACAAATAAAAAGTGAGAGGAAGGGTGAAATGACAAGATAAAGGACTTAATAAACACGCTGACATCAGGGTGAAAATTTTCAAAGCGATTCCTTACTTTCAATAATAGAAGCCTATCCCTAAATGCATTCTTCAGCACAGCACAACAATATGCACTTTTCTTGTGCGTGTGCATGGGTGTTGAAGATTAGAGATTTGGGGGCGGGGGGCGGAGGTTCAAGTAGACGCGGGGCACTTGCAAGCAAATCAAAGTTGTCTGCAAAGAGCCACTTCCTGCTGGTGACTAAGCCTTCACCCAAACAGTCAAGAGGAAGGGGCACAAGTAAAGCATTGCAAACGACCATCCCGATTGTATCAGAGTGGAGACAACTAGGACAAACAAACTCAGGAAGTGGCAGGGAGTTAGAAACCGAGAGGAAATCTATGGCAGAGAGAGGAAAGTGAAGAGATTGCGCCGATCCACAGAAAGGTCACCTCTGGGTCGCACTGTGCCAAGCTTTTTCAAAACCGCTTTATTTGGACTATAATACAAAACTGGCACACACAGCTGGCGACTGCTGCAGAGGCTATTCAAATGTTAACATTCTCAATGATAAACAGCCAAAAAAAGTTCTATGTAAGCAAATTGGAACAAACAACTAATCTAAATCTGGTTGCTAAGAGACAGAGGATTTCAGCCAAAACCAGCCCCAAGCCTCAAGAATACTTTATTTTTGATTAAAAAAAAAAAAGTACCTGTAGATGACGCCATGTTGGTGAAGAAACATGAGTGCTGATGTGACCTCTGCTGCATAAAAGCGGGATCGAGGTTCGTCAAATTTGCGTGAGCGCTGGATTTGAAACATTAGGTCTCCTCCATTTACATATTCCATGACGAAAAAGAGGCGGTCCTGAAATTAATTAAACAGTGCTATTTAGCTAATTTCTTTTAGTCACACAAAGGACTGCTTGAAGCTACACTTTAGGCGACTGCAGCATTTGCGTCAAGAAATGAAAGAAACAAATGCTACAATTCTGAAAAAGGAAAAGCTGACAACCAAAATCCCCCAAACCTAAAGAAAACGAGACAGGAGCCTCAAAGTGAGAAACGAGAAAAAGGGAATAGAATCAAAATGTAGTAATAAGCAACACGTACACAAATCTCCACACATCAACAAATACATATGGAATTATAATCAATTTTATGTAATAACAGAGATACCTAAATGATGCAGCTTCTTTTAAAATTTTGCCATAACAATGAAGAGATAAAGTAAATTCTGTCAACTACTGACGGGCTGCTGGGCAAATTTCAGGCTCCTTATTTCTTCTCTTATCTCTTACCAGCTACTTTGTCTGCAAAGTATCTTTCCCAAATTATGTAAAACCGAATTAGAATTGTTAAGCTATAGAAACCAGTGCTGCCAATCTCAAACACTTACATATGACTTTTTGAATTGCCTCAAACTCTCATAAGACAATGAAACATAATTACATTATTAAAATACATATCAAGTTCTTTTTATTTTCTTCTGATGCTTATCACTTCAAAGTTCAAGTTTTCAAGCCTTATTCCATGATAGAGAACTAGAAATGAACTTTACTTGAGAACAGCAACTAAGAATCTCAGGTAATCACCCCATTTTGGCGTGTTTCAGAAAAAAAAATCCAGAAGTTAAGCACTCGGTGAAATAGTCAGAACTGAGAACACCAGCAAACTAAATGCATGCTCGGCATCTTGAAACATTTGTGATCTAAACTGGCAATGCAGATGAAGGCATAAGCAAAGAAATGACACACATCCACTTGATATAATTTAGATCCTATTTTTTGTAAATGTTTCTTATAAATTCTCATAGTTTTTCCTAATCTGTACTAACAGCCCTAAATAATCATCAACCCTGCCCATTCACCCTTGGTTTCTAAGCCTGCTTCCACATTCTTTATTTCCTTACTGTAAAATATCTACATCTATATGCACATGAGTTTAGACAGAGGTGGAGGTAATTCTCATGTGACGTGGAGAATGGATCTGAGCATATACTCCTCGCTCTGCATTCGCTCACGTTTCATTCTCTGGTCACACGATACACAGGTGTGTAAGCACGGGACCTCACCAAACGGAGCCCCTCTCCAACTTTCATGTCACACTGCAGTTTGGCTCTGGCTCATGGTGTCTGGTGTGCTGGGTTGAAGAAAAAGAGACGAGATGTGGCATTGCTTTGGACGAGCAAAACCAACAGAAGATGGAAGGTAATTAACCTCCCACAAGTGAATCCAAGCCTGCAGATTACATAGTTTATATATATGAGACCAGAAATTCGTAAATATTTGCTGTTTGTCTCTAATCATCTACTCTACGGCTCAGATTCAAAGCATAGCACTTAAAAATATCCTTAAACTTAAGCGTGTGCATTAATCCTGCTCATTAAGTGCCCAAATGTTATACTTATCAGGGATGTTTCCTGGAGGAGGCTACAAATGTTTGGCTGACTTTTTGCTGATTACAGAAAGAGGATGCAGAAAAAAACGTTGTGCCTTTCCCCCCGTATCTTGGGAACACAGAAACCGCCAGACTGGATCAAATTCAGGATCCGGGTGGACTGGCATTCTTGGTAAAACACTGCTGACAACTTTGGTACATTTTCCAACATTTTTCTTACCATTCCCTAGTAAGGAAAACCTACTAAAGAATAGCATCAAAGCTTCTTGCTGTATCATACACCCAAAAGAGCATGGCTTTAGAGCCATGCCTTTGTTCTTTTTGCAATGCTTAATACTGCTGATAAACATTCAAAATCATAGTGCAGATCTCTTGACATTATTGTAGGCTTTAAATATCACCTTTGCTTGTTTTAAGCAAAAATATGGGTCCTTGCGCTGTCTCTCTGATTTCTCTCTGGAATCGATGAGAATTACAGCCTTGCTTGTAAAAGAAAATCTGATAGCTCTCAGAAGGTCTTACGATTTCAGAAGCTAGAGCTTAAGGATAACACCAAATGCAGTCAGTTTTGTGATAAAGTCAATCAAAAGCATAGCTATATTGGTACTGTAATGTAGCATAAGAGGATAGAACATCCCTAAGAAGAAGATGCAGGCATTGTCCTTCGTTAGGCTCCTCATCGCTGCACTACAGACAGTATCTCTGAAGAGCAGTTTTGGTCCGAGAGTCCCTTTGCAACACATTGCCTTAGATTATCTCACATGGATATAGTTCAGCATTTCAAGCACAAAACCCATTTGGACCGCAGGCTGGGGAGCGTCTGACTAACATTTGGCTAAAGTAACTCCTCCTAACGCTTGCTAAAATTGAACCTTCTTACATTGCTATTTTAACCTTTCCAAAGTCAACAGTCTGGACGTGAGTGGGCACAACCAGGAAAAGGAAGCTGCGATTCACATTCCCTGGAGCAGCCACACTTATTTCAACATTGCTACCTTTTTATTACACCTGTATTGCAAGTATAAAACAAACGATGCTGATGCAAAGTGATTGTGCTGTGTCTTACAGCTGTGACTCCCAAATGGTCATCCTCAACTTGTCACTGAGCTGGGAGCTGCTGCTCCCAACGGTGATGCCACCACTCTTCCAAATGCTAAGGATGGTGCACAAAAAACCCCAAAAAACCCAAACAAAAAAAAGAAATAGCTGGTTTACACAATTGTATAGATCAGGGCCATTTCCTAACGTGTCAGGATATACATTGTATCATTTTTATATTAAAAACTCTGGGTTTGATCCAAACAGAACCAATGTTTTTTGTGACTTTCACCAAATGCCTAATTGCTGATTCTCAATATCAGAAATTGTGTTTAGTTAAAACTTCAAGTTCTTTTATTTCGATTCAGTCCTTTGTAGGACTTTTCCAGCTTAGCCAACCGAAAATTTAACCTGGATTGTTTAGCAGAATATCTTGTCATTAGACAGTCTGAACAAAAGCTTTAGCAGCAGCTCCATTCCCACAGCTGGAGAGTGCTAACTTTCCTATCCTCTTTCACAACTTCCCTATTATGCACATCCCATTCTCAATGTGAAGGGGTATTTCTGGCAGGTTCTGCAGCTTAGTTGACCACCTCTTTGAAAGTATACCTACTAAAACCAGAATTAACAGCTCAGTGATTGAAATTGCTCTGCTGTTGCATTTTTCTGCTATACACTGATATTTCAAGTTACTTTTCCAGCTTTCCTGGGTGCACGTTTCAGCTTCCTAATGAGAATTCACAGAAAAAAAAGTAGTTTGGAAGTTCTGTTCTCTGTTTGTGGTACTGGGAAAGGGTTTGATCTTGAGAGAAGAAAAATACTAATTCTCACCCACTAATGTGGGGTAAACAATCAGATGCACAACATGCACATGCACAGCAGGCCAGAGTTTCAGCATTAGAAGGTACCATCTTTTTTGATGAAATATACTCAGTGCCTATGAAAACTACTTTCTTAAAACCCCTCTCTGGTCTTTTTTTGTGCTCAGGAAAATGGCATGATCAGCCGGGACTCAAATTTACATGAAAAGAGGATGCAAGAGAATATTTTATGAATAATGATCTGAGATTGGTACGTCTATTTTTCTCCCGATTCCCATAACTCCAGCAACAACAGAGACACTATCTTGATTTCTGCTACTTAATTTTTTCCCCAGTCTTTCATCAAAAGCTAACGATCAAAATACAGATTCCTAACACTCTGGATATTTCCTCTCTGTCATAATGTATGCAGACACATAGAATGACCCAATGAGACCTCTGTGACTTCAATGTAGAGAGGATTTCATCCTCAAACAGTAATTGTGAAACAACTGTATCATGCCTGATTATATGCATCTTGCTACATGTATCACCAGGACACATTCAAATATTGAAGTGGGAGAATATAAAGTGAACGCCCTAAAGAATTATGCATTATTAAGGGACAACACGGTGTTTAGTCAGTTAAAAATGATACACAAGGTATGACTTTATCATTGATTGTGTTCCAAGAGAAAATTGAATGGGTTTGGACTGCATTATTTTTGGACTACATTTTCATAACATTTGAGAAGTATGTTTTGACGAACAAAATAAATGTAAAACAGTCCTGGGAACTCTTTAATTATATAAACTGAAATAAAAGGCAAAATCACAAACAAAGACATGATAGATTAATCCTCTCTTGGCATCTATAAAGCAAAAAAAGTACTGCAAAGTAAGCCAATATGTTTTCTGAAGTAATTAGATTCTTTTACAGGGTTTATTTTAGCCCTTAATCATACCTGCTTTTCCTTGAATTTCTCAAAATGTATGGTTGAATGAGAATACTTAAAATAATAAATAGAAAGAAAAACAGAGCAGAGAGCATGGGTAAGAGATTTTAAAAGCAAAGCGGATATGGAGTAAACAGGCTAGAAGTCAAGACAAAAAAAGTTCAACTTCACTCTGTTTCCATAGTATTTTCTGCCTATGGCTTTAACTACTACACTGGAACGCGTAACTGCCTGTCTTAACGGGGCGGGGGGTGAAATAACTTAAAATAATAAATAGAAAGAAAAACAGAGCAGAGAGCATGGGTAAGAGATTTTAAAAGCAAAGCGGATATGGAGTAAACAGGCTAGAAGTCAAGACAAAAAAAGTTCAACTTCACTCTGTTTCCATAGTATTTTCTGCCTATGGCTTTAACTACTACACTGGAACGCGTAACTGCCTGTCTTAACGGGGCAGTTGGACTAGATGACCTTTAAAGGTCCCTTCCAACCCAAACTATTCTATGATTCTATGATTAACATCTCTATTATTCCAGTCTCACCTCTTGATTTTCTTAATTGGGATCCTCTCCTGCATGCTTTACATTTTCAAAACTGGACTCTAAAAGCAACCTCTGTTCTAGTCTCTGTCCCTGTCACTATCTGGAGAAGTACCCTTGTCACTTAAACTAGAAATC